GCTGCGTCCAGCCATTCATTCATTCATGCGGAAGCCATGCGGAAGCGCTGCCTCAGCGTCTTGTGCAAGGAGGTCTGCAGGGAGCCCGAAGATGACGTGGGCGAGAGTGAAGCAGTGTAGCCATAGCGATAGGTAGCGGCAGCCATAGCTGCCATAACTTAGTGTAGAGTGCAGTGTGTGTGTACTGTGTGAGTGTTCAGAGTGATGTGCGTGGGACATCCAGGGTGATCCAGAGTGTGAACAGTGAGTTGTTTGAGGCGCACAGTCGCCATAGCCAGTGGAAGCGAACTGTTACTTGGAAGCTATATCTCTGAGTTCTGTGTGGGCGCATGTCGCCAGTTTGTCGTCCTGCTGTTCACATGCATGAAAAGTGTGAATAAGTCGAGTCTGATTTCACTGGTATCGGAGCAGGTACCCGCTGTTCCACGCGCGCCATCGTGCGCAGGGTGAGGTGCCATAGCTGAGGTGGCCGCTGGAGAAGGTAGTCCGCCACAGCGGACCTTCGGTGAAGAAGCCGCCGCGCACCTGCATCAAGAGGACCGCGACGAAGAAGACGGTTGAGAGAGAGAGAGAGAGAGAGAGAGAGAGAGAGAGAGAGAGAGAGAGAGAGAGAGAGAGAGAGAGAGGGAGAGAGAGAGAGAGAGGTGAGAGATACAAGATTGGGTTATTACCTGCTGCGCTGAAGGTACCGCAACGGCGGGAGAGAGAGAGAGAGAGAGAGAGATGAGTGATTCAAGATTGGTTGTTACTTACCTGTGAGGCGAGTTGCGTAGTCCGATGGAGAAGGCAGACAACGGCCATAGCCGCGGAGCATCAACACAGGGTACCGAAGGAGGGAGAGAGGGAGGACAGAGAAGGAGGGACTGAGGAGAGAGACAGAAGTGTGGAAGGGGGATATCGAAGAAGAAGACCGACATAGCCGGGGGTGCAAAAAAAAAAAAAAAAAAAAAAGGAGATAGAAGAAGAAAAACAGCGAGGAAGAAGAAGGGGAAGGAAGGGGAAGGAAGTGACGAGGGTGACGAAGGTGAAGGTGCCGGCAGCCATAGCCGAGGTGAAGGGTTGACCGGGCGTTGACCAGAGGGTTGACCAGGCATTGACCAAGGGGTTGACTGAGCGTTGACCAAGAGTTGTCCGCGTTGACTCAGCGTTGACCAAGGCGTTGAACGGAGCTGCTGACCAAGATTTTGACCAAGCTGGATGGAGTTGGTGATATCTCGCTGAGCCCTTAGCCTATCCCCTTACCCTATGGATGTGCACACACCCCACGGTACTTCCTGAATCTGAGTCTGTCTATCTTTCCTTTCTGCATTGAGTCTCTTTTGTCCTAGGTGTTAGGACTCATGGATGAAGGATAGGGTTGGATGACGAAACCTTAGTCTSACTTTGTAGGGCTGAGGCTGGGGCTGATCCAACTTTCCAGGGGGGCATAACCCTCCCAAGGACCGGTGCTGACCGGCTGGAAACGGTTGGTAGGACTTAGTGGGCCTGAATGACAGCTAAGGCTGACACACCAGCCAATCTTTAAGTATTGAGGGCCTGTTTGAACCACCCCCCTATCGGACCCAGTAAGGCTGATGATCTGTGTCTGACGACTCGACTGACCCGAGGGACACGAACCCCTCCAAGGACTGGTACAGACCGGCGGGCTGCTCGGTGTGGCATAGTAGGCCGGAAAGGCTGAGTTGTGGGTTGAAAGCACAGGCAGAACCACGCTGATCACGTCGTCCTGACTGCGACGTTAAAGAATTCTTGCGGAGTTTGGGGGATCTCCTTAAATGCCTCCAGATCAGCTGTTGGTTCAGTAGTGACCGCCTTAAGAGTAGTTTTGAGTAGTGATCTTAGAGAGTCAGTCAGTAGGTCAGTGTCCGGGTAGGTCTAATTGGTAAGGAGTGGGACTTTTGTCGTGCACCTAACACCACGATGGATGACTATCCGATGTATGGATTGCTTGTTGGGTTCTCCCTCTGGGGGACCCTTTGGCGTCTCCTCTTTCCTCTGGGCTTTTGGCCCACTTTTACGTGTAGAGTAGGGACCCGGGGTGATACTTCCACCCAGCCGTACACGAAGGAGGAGGAGGAGAAGATGGCCGCCGTCCTGAGGGAAAGAAAGGAGAAGAAAGAGGCCAAGAAGAAGGCCCTACAGGAGGAGCAGGCGACCAAGTTGAGAAAGGTTGAGGAGGAGATGGCCAGAGAGAAGGAGAGAATAAAGAAAGAAGAAGAGGAGAAACTGAAAGAGGTGGAAGAGGAAGAGGAGGAAGATGAAACGCCACTGCAAAGGAAGAGAGGGCAGTACAGTGGCAGCAGAGACGAGGAGATGGAGAAACGGATTTCAGAGTCGGTCGCCAACTTATCCCTGGGCGAAGAAGAAGAGGTGGCGATGTATATCCCCAAGGATGATAAGGAAGCCGCTATGAAAGCTTGGGAAGCCGAAGAAGATGTTCTGAAGCGGCAGGCGATGGAAGATGAGAAAAGGATGGAGTGGAAACTGACAGTGATGAGGGAGAAGAAGAGGAGAGTGGACGCGGCAGCAGATGCGGCGGAAGAACTGGAGGAGGTTAAAAAGATAGAAGAGCAATTAGCCTCCCAGACTGAACTCCCAAAGAAAATGGAGGTCATAGCCCGAAATGTTACACGCTTAGCGCGAATTCAGGCAGAGCAGTATGACTGCAGTAGGAGTCAGCATATAGCTGTGCGTTCAATACGATTGGGATTTCGGGACTTTGCTCGCGAGTTGGTGGGAGATGTAGGAGCCGAGGTGGGCCACCGCCTCGACAAGACTGAGCGGTTTTGTGCTGGCGCCATTGAAGGCGTCAAGGCGGCAACTCCCAAGGAGAAGGAAGCACGCCCTCACCGGGAGCTGGTCAAAGTCAGATTCCCTGATTCCTACAGTGGAAAACGGAAAGAGAACTTTGACAATTGGGAGGCCAACGTTAAGACCTATGTACATCTGCAACAGGTCTCCCCGGATCAGCAAGTTCTAATTGCGATCCACGCACTTAGAGATGAGGCCGCCAGTTTCGCAAGGTCCCTGGTTCGTGCTGCCAACTACAGTGACGATCCAGTTGCGTATTCCTCGTTCACTCCCCTCGCCGAAATCTTGAAGCTGCTACGCGAGCGATTTGCTGATGTCGCTCGTAGTGTTAAAGCCTCAGACAAGCTCCAGACAATCCACGCTCGTAAGTGGAAGAGCGCCAGGGCACTTAAGAGCACAATGGACGAGTTAGTGGCAGTACCTGACCACGGGGTCACAGACACCCAGTTGGTCGCCCTCTTCTATCGGGCTATGCTCGAAGCCTTTCGAGGCCACTTCTTCCCGAAGAGCGAAGATCCTGCCACCACTTATGATTCCCTTAGTCGTGAAGTGGTGGCCTTTGAAGCAAAGTCGGTGCCAGTTTCTACATTCTGGCACAAGGACTTAGATAAGGGAAAACAATGGAAGGGCCGCACTATCTCAGGGCAAGTAAAGACTAAGGATAGTCTTGTCCTAACCTTAAATGAGGGTAGTGTGGATGAAATCCTCTACAACCAAATTGAGTGGGGGTTAGAGGAGGAGGACAACGGTGTGGGTCAGGGGAGAACTTACGCTGCTGTCGTGGCTGGAGGGAGGCCGCAAGGAGGAGGACGAGGCCAGGGCCAAGGGGGCCGGGCCTCAGGGAGCCGGTTTCAGGGCAATCAGGGGGTTGGTGGCAAAGGAGGAAATCGTCAAGCGGGAGGAAGGGGTCAAGGTCCCCCGCAAAACCGTCCTAGGAACAGGTTTCCCTATAGGGTAGGCGGATGGCACCCAGGGCTACCCCAGGGTAGGCCTTGGGAAACTTTGGGTCTGGACCAGAGTTTGTGGCAACAACGATTGGACCGGGGCCAGTGCATTTTCTGCGGTGACCCGGGCCATATCATCAAATACTGTCCTAAGTATCGAGAGACCCGAACGGCTGCTCAAGGGCCAAAAGGCAGCCGCCGGTAGGGGTAGCAACTGCCCCTACCATCAGGCCATGTGGGGAAAATAGCGCTAGCCGGCAGGAGACTCCCACACCACATGTGCCTATGGCAGAGGTTGCAGGCCGGTGTCTAGATAGATGCACAGAGACTGCTTGTGTTAGGGTCGCTCTAGACACCTCCCTCACAGGCGTGGCCGAAGAATTGAAGGAGAGGATGCCCGCCTGGGCCAAGATGAAAAAGGAGAATAAAGGGCAGCTTATATTGGTAGATGCAGAGATTTTTAGAGGTAGAGTTGACGTCTTAGTGGATAGTGGAGCCACTCGTAGTTATATTAGTAGGAAGGCGCTACAAAAGCGGAAGTTGCAGTTAAAAGTCCAAAAGTTAGCAGACCCTGTAGTCAGTATCCTTGCGGACAATCGCACGATGCGAGTAGAAGACTACGTAGAGGGAGTCCAGGCGTATTTCCGCCTAGAGAAGTATGGGAAAGTAGAGAAAGTTCTCCATTCCCTAACTCTCCTCGTAGAGGATAGCCTCCCATTCGATATAGTCCTGGGTATGGACTGGGGAGAGGCAGCCGGGGCCACACTCCACTTGAGGGAGCATGAGTGTAGGCTCCCTAGCCCGTCAGGCGATGTCAAGACTACACGTCTGTACCATGTGTCAGGAGTAGATGACTCCTTGGCACATTGCTGCCTTAGTGCTCCTGCATTTGCACGACTAGTGAAAAAGGAGCAGTTAGAAGAACAGGTTTTTGTGGCCTATGTTAGGCCAGTCACTGAGCTTAAGGAAGAAAAGCCCATAGATCCTGCTATTGCCGAATTGCTGGAAGAGTTTAAGGACTTAGCTGAGCCGCCGACAGGAACAGTGCCGCGACCCATCCAACACCGTATTGAGATAGAGCCTGACAGTAGAACTCCTAAGGGCGCAATGTATAGGATGTCCCCGCGGGAGTTGGAGGAGCTTCGCAAGCAATTGGACGAACTCCTTGAAAAGGGTTGGATTAGACCCAATTCGTCTCCTTTTGGAGCACCTATTCTCTTTGTCCCCAAGAAGGAGGGAGAGCTAAGGATGTGTATAGACTATAGAGGTCTGAATGTTATCACAATGAAGAATGTTGAGCCACTGCCTAGGATAGATGATCTCCTAGACAGAGTGCAGGGGTGTAAGTATTTTTCAAAGATAGACTTGAAGTCCGGATACCATCAAATAGATGTTTATCCTGATGACCAGTATAAGACAGCTTTCTGGACTAGGTATGGGCACTATGAGTTTATAGTGATGCCCTTTGGACTAACCAATGCGCCAACAATTTTTCAGCGGTGTATGGATGACATGTTTAGGCCGTGGTTAGACAGATTTGTTGTAGTTTACTTAGATGACATTCTAGTGTTTAGTAAGACCCTCGAGGAACATCAGGGTCATCTTAGGCAGGTCTTGGAGAAGCTGAGGGAAGCTAATTTCAAGATCAACGCAAAGAAGTGCGAGTGGGCGAAGACCCAGGTCTTGTATTTAGGCCATGTCTTAGACGGAGACGGCATCAAACCCGAAGACAGCAAGATTGCAGCGATTAGAGATTGGCCGACACCGCGTACGTTGACAGAGTTGCGGTCGTTCTTAGGCCTAACAAACTACTATAGGAAGTTCGTGAGGAACTTCTCCACCATCGCTGCGCCCCTTTGCAGATTGCTCAGGAAGGAGACCATCTGGAAGTGGGATAAGGACTGCACGTCTGCTATGAAGAAGTTGAAACAGGCGTTGATAGAATATCTAGTCCTTAAGGTAGCCGATCCGTCCTTGCCCTTTGTCGTTACTACGGACGCTAGTCAGTACGGCATAGGTGCCGTGTTGCAGCAAGACGATGGCCATGGTTATAGGCCCGTAGAGCTCATGTCCGCCAGAATGCCTTAAAAAAAGGTCGCGACATCTACCTATGAGAGGGAACTCTACGCCCTCAAGCAAGCTTTAAAACACTGGAAGCACTACTTGCTTGGGAGACACTTCAAAGTCTATTCCGATCATGAGACGTTGAGATGGTTAAAGACGCAGGCCAAGATGACACCTAAGCTTACTAGGTGGGCCGCAGAGATAGATCAGTATGACTTTGAGCTCAAACCATTCAAGGGAAAGTATAACGTAGTTGCGGAGGCTCTGAGTAGGAGAGCTGATTACTTTGGGGCAATAGTGCATTACCTAGATATAGGGAAGGACCTGGAGCTGAAGATTAGAGAAGCCTATGCGTAGGATCCTATCTATAGTGACCTCCTCAAGAGGGTCAAGGAGGCCCCAGAGACTGAGCCGAACTACCGCACTACTGAAGGGTTGCTCTTTGAGAAGACTAATGTATTTGACCGCCTGTGCATTCCCAGTAGTGAAGAGATCCGTAGTCTGATTTTGGGGGAATGCCATGACACAGAGGGTCATTTTGGTTGGCAAAAGACTTTAGCCAATCTGATGCACGCATATACCTGGCCAGGGATGAAGAATGACTGCGTAGAGTATGTTCGCAGTTGTAAAGTTTGTCAGCGTAATAAGAGTTCTACGTGTGCCTCGGTAGGTCTTCTCAGACCCTTGCCCATTCCGGATCAGCCGGGAGACTCAGTGTCCATCGACTTCATGGACACCCAAGTCAAGAGTAGGCATGGTAAGAGCCAAGTCACCGTTTTAGCAAATATGCAGTTTTTGTTCCTTTGCCGTCAGAAGCACGTACTGATGTAGTAATACAAAAGTTTTTTGACTGCTGGGTTAGTAAGAATGAAATCCCACTGTCAATAGTTAGCGATAGAGATAGTCGCTTCACCAGCCAGAACTGGCAAGAACTCATTGGAGTGTATGGATCCAAGTTGTTGATGTCGTCTGGCCGCCATCCTGAGACTAACGGTCAGACAGAGCAAATGAACAAGCTCCTACAGCAAGTTCTGCGCATGTACATTAGACCAGATCATATTAACTGGGATGAGATGTTGCCAAAGGTAGCTAGTGCGTATAATAACAGTGTGCATCTGTCCACCTGCCGCACTCCCAATGAACTGCACAAGTCCTTTAGGCCACGCATACCGTTTGAGGGACTCAACCGGCATCAAATTTACAGGTTACCGCCCGGTACCAGGGAGTTTGTTGTACAGCACGAGAAAAAACTAGCTACTGTTGTTGAGAATCTTAGGAAGTCCCAGCACCGCATGATCGAATAGGCGAACAAGCATCGTCGCCCTTCACAGTTCCAAGTAGGCGACTTGGTCTGGGTCCAGTCTAAAGAGTTTGTGCCTGAAGAGAACATTTCGCAAAAGTTACTGCTTACGTATAGAGGACCGTGGCCGGTTCTAGAAGTCAAGGGCGGCGAAGATGGACCGTCTTATACCATAGAACTCCCAGCACACCTCCACACTTACCCATTTTTTCATGCATCGAAGTTGTTACCTTGTCAGACAAGTGATCAGTTTCCATCCCGTAGGTCTATGATTCCGCCCGATATGGATGGAAGGTATGACATCGATGGCATAGTGGCTGAAGATGTATTCAAAACTGGAGGTAAAGGTCGTCCACAGAAACAGTACAAGGTTCATTTTAGTTATCAAGAACCGGAAGACGACCTCTGGTTTACGAGATCTGAACTTCTAGAGACAACTCCCGATATAGTCCGGGCCTACGAGCGACAACAGAGAGGTAAAGGTCTTGCCTTGGACTGTAATTTTCTCGGAGGACCTCGAATTTAGGCCGGCGGGAGTGAAACGGTATTCACCAGTTCGAAGTAGCTGATGCAGACCCCAGGGCTCGATCCCTAGTTCCCCATCTTACCTGTGTACAGTACCAGTGTCAACCCGTAGAATTGAACCTACGACCTATAGGACCGCCAGTGGTAGGTAGGATTTCGTAGGTCTCAGGGTAGAAGGGATTCGAACTATAGACCTGTTGAGTAGGAGTCTAGACAGTCCAGAGGTCGTAGCTGTAGACCGTCTGAAGGGTCAAGGTCGTAGCTGCTACTTACCTGAAAGGGCAAAGTCGTAGCTGCTACCGTACCGAAAGGCCAAGTTAGAGGTTTCTAGAAGCGGCCTTTTGGAGTCAGCCTACGTTAGGCAGAGGCAAGTGGTCAAGTGGTGGAAGTCCACCTAGTCCAGTCAGCAGTCCCAATCCACCCAGTCCGGTCTAGTCAAGCAAGTACTGTCTGGGATTGTGTGCACCGTGGGCCAGGGGACACAGGGCAGACCAGCGAGGCACAAAAGTATAAATCAAGAGGCTGCGTCCAGCCATTCATTCATTCATGCGGAAGCCATGCGGAAGCGCTGCCTCAGCGTCTTGTGCAAGGAGGTCTGCAGGGAGCCCGAAGATGAAGTGGGGGAGAGTGAAGCAGTGTAGCCATAGCGATAGGTAGCAGCAACCATTGCTGCCATAGCTTAGTGTAGAGTGCAGTGTGTGTGTACTGTGTGAGTGTTCAGAGTGATGTGCATGGGACATCCAGGGTGATCCAGAGTGTGAACAGTGAGTTCTTTGAGGCGCACAGTCGCCATAGCCAGTGGAAGCGAACTGTTACTTGGAAGCCATATCTCTGAGTTCTGTGTGGGCGCATGTCGCCAATTTGTCGTCCTGCTGTTCACGTGCATGAAAAGTGTGAATAAGTCGAGTCTGATTTCAATCGGAGCTGGTTCGCTCCGCTAGCTCCATTGCAATAGTTGTTTGGTGCTTCGACGTGGGTTTGCCAGGCAGTGATAAGGTTTGTGCCGTGGGAGGATCGACGGCCCTGGGACTTGAGGGCGTGCCAGGAAGGCTATGTGGTGACATAGAGATGATTGCTGGATGATGAGAGCTTGCTGAGTGACATTTAGGCTGAGGTGGAATGCATTATATTGTGAGTTGTCTCGAGACATCGACCGGTCATCTTAAGTGCACGTTAGGTTACTGGTGAGAAATCTCTGGTTGGGGGCAGCATTATGAAATACGTTGCTCCTTACTTTATGTACCCTCTTCGTCACTTCTTACCATGAGGAGGTGAGTTCTGTCTTGAGAGTCCTCTCATTGTGAGGCGTCGCGAGCACTCAACGTTGAGAGTCGACATTCTTCTTGGGAGCATGCTGATGGGAGACGAAAGTTGCGTCTGAAGGGCCCTAGACGAACCACTAAGGTCACGGTCACCATGCCAACCCACTGGAGTAGAGCACGCACGCTTTGCTGCTTGTCCTTTGGTCTGCTTGTTGCGCTATAGAGGTCGTGTCGGGCAGGCCAGCCCTATGAGGGAGAGACGAGTACCTGATCGTCTATAAAGGGACTTCGGCAGGGATACACGACTCCTGTTGTACGCAAGTATAAAAATAGTATGGATGGCGCTGGCCAGTTCTGAACTGACTTGGGGCACAGGGGTGGCTTGTGTTCACACCTTTAGACGCACCGCTCAACCAAAGCCTTCGGGACGTCGACACAACGTGACAACTCAAGAAGGATTGAGGGGGAGGGAGGATTCCAGAAGATGTTCGATTGTTAATTATTGTATATTTCCATTATGCTTGCATTCCAGCAAATGATTTTATTTTCATTTTTCATTAGTTGTTACGGACTTTGTTGACAACTGACAGACTGTTGCAGGCGAAGTAGTGATTTGCTCTTTGCTGCATCGCAATCTGTTTTAGACAAGTGAAACTAGGAGTAGAATCATTTGTAGGGGTCTACGCTTATATGTTGTTACCGCTTGAGTACTTTCTGACATATCTGGACCCAATAATTATTTTATTTTATTTTAAGAATTGGTTGGATGCCACGCTGCGGTAGGTCTCAGCGAGGACATTAGTGCAGATCGCATGCCACGCGTAGCCCATGAGTGGAGATGACAGTGAGGTTGAGGGACTAGACCAGGGCGATAGGAGGCTTACCGGCTTATACTCAGTCAGCCAACCACTTTCTTGGTGTTAGAGCCAGGAGAGGAAAGGAGACTACGAAGAGAAGCCAGAGAGAGGAGAACCTTGCAGAGGGCAAGGGAAGCAACAGCCAACGCAGATGGGCACTAGCAGTAGCGTTAGCAGGAGACGCTAGGGCCGTAGTGGAGGCAGCCATGGCTACCGCATCTACAATGTCACCGGGCCACCGGCCTCGTCTCAGGCCACTTCGTGTCAGTCCGGGTATGTCCCAACCTTTCATTAGTCAGTCTGCTGGCTTGCAAGTCAGCCAACAACAACCCATGTCAGATGAGGATTAGAAGATCCAGCAAACAAATGTTATTCACGCCGAGCTACAACACCAGTGTGGCGGACCCACCAGGTGTGGTGCTCCGCCTTAGGTAGAGATGGAGATGGAGGAAGAAGGGGGAGCGAGACGACACAACGCAGCTTCCATACCAGACTCCAACGCACGTACTCCGAAGTGTGCGAATGTAGAATGAATCGGAAAACAGATAACAACTGGGGTATACCCCAACGGACTGACGGGACTGGACTGGACTGGCTGGTACCAACAGAGGTACCGGCCTGGACTGGACTGCCCCGAATACAACATAGGCCTGTGAGAACAGGCCAACTAGAGGTCCGCTACACGATCCTCGACCTGTGATGGATCGCCTAGATACAAGCACGCTTCCGCCAAGAAGCGGAACTCTACCAAAGAAAAAGAAAACCTGAGCAGTCTAGGATGCGGAGCAAGCTCCATGCTGAGTCCATGCGATGCAACCTAGGATAGAAAATGTCACAAAACAACAATGTCACAGCTAACAGCCTAAGTGAAAGCAGAAGCAACTAACTAGCATACATGTCCTAGGAAAGCAAAAAGTAATGGCAACTAAACCCTAGAATGTTGGAGGCGGTAGCCTCAGTCTCGAAACAACTAACTAGTGTATAAGTCCTAAGAACAGCAAAAGGAGAACAACTAAATCCTAGAAATGTCAGAGGCAGTAGCCTCAGGCTGAGAGCAACAAAGCAACAACAAGTCAACCATATGTCACAGGGGGAGTGTGTCACAAACCAAAGGGTGGGATGGTCTCTGAGGGTGGCGAATG